GCGGGCGGGAGAGAGAGAGAGAGAGAAGGGGGCGGCCAGGGCTACAGCAGGGGCGCTGCCACATGGCCCCTCCTGCTGCACCGCCGCCTGCCGCGAGGGCTCTGCTCTGGTCGGCGGGGAGGGAAGGAAGAGGACTGCCCTGCAGGGCGCTCTGGTTCTCTGCACCGCCGCCCCCTACAGGGCGGCCGGAGCGGAACAAGAACAAAAAAACCCAACCCCCGCCTCCCCCAAAAAACGGCCGTGCCGCCCTAGGATTGGGCGGAATGCCGCCTCCAACAATCTGCCGCCCCAAGCACCAGCTTGCTCAGCTGGTGCCTGGAGCCGGCCCTGACGGGCACTGTCATCTTCCTTTTCCCAGGAGTGCTCAACCCCTGCTCAACCCCAGGCCCCACCCCCACTCCACCTCTTCCCGCAATGTCCTACCCTGCCCTGCCTCTTCCTGCCCAGTTCCGGCCCCTCCCCCGAGCACGCCCCATCCTTGCTCCTCTCCTTCCCCCCAGCACCTCCTGCACGCTGTGGAACAGCTAATCCACGGCAGGTGGGAGGCGCTGGGAGGGGGAGGAGTTGATCGGCGGGGCCATCGGCAGGTGGGAGGTGTTGGGGGAGAGGTGGGGAGCTGGCTGCAGGTGGATGTTAAGCACCCACTAATTTTTTTCTGTGGGTGCTCCAGGGCTGGAGCACCCACGGAGTTGGCACCTATTGCTGGGCCATCCTATCCTCATGAGCTATGCAGCCTTCCTCCACCTCACTGCATGTGGATTTTTGGGGGCAGACTTTGAAGTAGAGAGTTTCCTGTTGGGGTCAATGATGACTATGTTACTTCCTCTGTTTCCATCTTCTTTTCTATGCAGATGGGAGGTGTCTTTTGTAGCTAGGCCATTAAACCCACTTTATGTTTCAATTACTGACTCTTTATGGTGTTGTTTCTAGGTGCCTTTTGGCAAGGAGCATTAACTATATTATTTGAATGAATAAAGGGACAGTGTCTGGTTAAGTCTAATGAAATTCCTCATGTTACTAATAACACTTTAAGTTATTAAAATTGTTAGAATTGTTATATTGCTTATTTACTTTTTGCCCTTTGCTCACCTTGGAGTGTGAAAATAGACTAGACAGTTCTATTCTTATATCTACTAGTATCACTTTCTAGTTCTCATGCAGGGAACTGTTTAAATTTAAACAAATAAAAGTTGATTGAAATTTAAAACAAAAGTCATAAACATATGGGGCTGGATTGAAACCCGGGAGCAGGGCAGAAACCAGAGTGTGTCTCCCAGGGTCACATTTAGTCCCTTCTTCCCCCTTGATCGTGGGGCAACCTATTGCTGGCACAGATTACTTCATCCTCTGTGCCCGCTCAGTTGATGTGTACCAGCGCATTGGGGAGGGGGAGAGCTAAGACTCCCACCTGATGGGCGGGGCAGTAACAGTCCAGTGGCGGCCTACCCTTCAGGCTCTGGAAATGCAGGTAGTCCATGCAGGGACTTAAAGGGGCTCCTTATACCTTATTACACTCCTGCAGGGGCATGTAGCAGGGCTTATAATTTGACCTGTTGCTATTAAAATTAGGCTTTTGAAACGCTTAAAAAATTAAATCCCTAAATTCTGGTAATAAATTACCTGATGATCTCCCTTTAAATACAAATTAAAAAGAAAATTAAACATCTCATTGGAAATCAGATGTTATTTTAAATGCCATGACATTTGGTGGAAGATATATTCATTTTCATTTCAAATAAACTGTTTAAGTGACTACAAGGATTTGGCAAGTGTACATTTTGCTGGCATGCAGGGTAGAGTTGAAATTGCATCATTTTGAAGTATACATTGTTACATCACTTTTACCTGGAACATTGGTCAATGTTTTTTTACAGGACATTTTGGGTTCGCTACTTCTTGTGTATTTTGGAATTAGAAAACTCTGTTACACCAGTTTCATACTGGTTTAAATTCTTTGACTTCAGAGCAGTTGCACTGGCATAAAACTAGTGTAACGGACTGGAGAATAGGGCCCTTAAAATCCAAATTGGATATGTCATAATGGGAACAAAACAGTCATGATCTGCTCTTCCTCATCCTAAGAAAAAATACCACACAATTATTTTTGTGCAGCGAAGTGATGTGGACACATGCAGGATGGCCTCTCTGTTGGAAACGGACTTTGAACACTTGCTCAGTAGGCCAGTGGTTGATGGCAATTTATGGAAATGACATAATCTATTTAGAGGAAAGTTGATAGCCTCACTATTTCCAGATCCGTGCTCTGCTAGCCAATCTATAAGCTGCCTTCATTGCAGATTGCTGAGAAAGCAACTCTCCTGCTTGTAAATGAGGCCCTATAATGGTGGCTACTAGGTGAGAGACTGAATTAAGAATACATGAAAGGAAAATAGAAGACCAAACCTGTTTTAATTAGAGTGAAATATAGCCTGTTCTTTTCCAAGTCTAGGCTTAATATAGAGAAAATGTATTAGCACAGAAGGACTTGACTTGCTGACTTGAGTAAACTCAATATGCGATGGATGAAGTCATACATAATTAATTGTTCTTTGCTGCATTCTTCCCAAAGTAATGGTTCTTAGCATTCACACGTATGATAATTTATGTTTTCTCTATACTAGTGTTCTAGGACAGCCAATTAAGGAAGCGGAGGTGGCACCTGTGTAGTGCAGTGTTAACATCTACGTGTTACTATCATGTGGGTTGTAACTTTCCATCATTTTTTTTTCTTTTCTCCTTTCTAGTGCCTAAAGCAGTATATGCAGCTGGCAATTCGAGAAGGCTGTGGTTCTCCCATCACTTGTCCAGACATGGTGTGCTTGAACCATGGGACCCTACAAGAAGCAGAGGTAGTGACACTTGTCTTCTCTCCTCTTTTTATTTCCACCTTCATTTACATAATAAATACAATATTATTCGGTTTCCTCCTCTTAATTACCTTTCATGAGTCTGTGACAGGAAGCCTGCCTGATCGTAGGAACTAGAGACAAATAGATGTTTTTCTTTTCTTTTCTGTCTTGAGGAAATGCTTACTTGGGATCCAGACAATTTCTGAATTACCCATGCAGGTGATTTAACCAAAAATATCCTGCATCCAGGAACCACTAAACATTCACTAGCAATGACGGTTGGAATGGCTTTGATATGGATACCTACTGTGGCTGAAATCCTGTCTCCACTGAACCAAATGGCAAATCTCCTACTGGTTTAAGTGGGGTAAGGATTTAACCCAGTGTGTTTATATTGGGGTGAAGCAGGAAAAATAAGGACACTTTTTTGTGTGTCAGTCTTTCTATAAATTGTGAGGGAAAGCTGGGTGGGAGTTGGATTTGACAAATGAGAAGAGTGAACAGAGAACTTTCCAAGAGATGAGACTTTAGGAGCCCTGAGGCTAAACAAGGAGGTTACACTAGTGTGTGCACACACATACACACATGTGTGTATACACCCACAAATACGTATAACACACATGCAGAGGAACATGCATATACACTTCTAAGGTTTGAGATAAAGAAACCGAGGTAGCATCCAATTCTCAGTTATATGATGTCTCCTTTATGCCATTCTGTCTGTGTAAAGTGGTCAGAAATGGCTCCTGGTCAAATGGCCTGCTTGGCTATTATAGAAATGATGTAAGGTTCCTAGACTGGCCCCACTCCCAATCCATGGCACAAGAGATGGGTCGGTAGTATGGCTGGAGTGTACTACACTGCAGTAATTCTCTGCTTCCCAGAGGCCATGGGAAACAGTGTCAGAAAGAGCAGCCCCAAGGCTGTTCTTGCTTACATGGCGAATACAGGGAATGCAAACGTGGCTAAAAGCTTTAAAACACCTTTGCTCACACCATCCCCATCCCTTCCCCAAGTGCAGGAATGGAATAAATGAGACCCAAGCCCTGAATTTTCTTCCCCTGAATTGCACAAAAGCAAATACTTATTTGTTATCCTGTGGGCATCCTACAGCCCTATATGCAAAGATGGCATAGCTGTGCTCGCTGTAACCCAGCTCAAACATGGGCATTGCCAGCGGAATTCTGTCGTGGATCCCCCAGTGAATGTGACCCGTGAGTGCCTTTGTTCAGAGAGTTTGCACCGTACAATAGCCAAGATAGTGAACCCTGCTTCCTAAGCTAAGCCATTTTGACATCTGTTTTAAATGTGGTTTATTTTGTAATGTAGATAAGGCATTAAAGTAAACTTCACTCCACCTGTGGTAAAATGTCATTCTCCAGTAAGCTGCTATTCTAGACCTCTTGGAATTTAGAAACTATAACTTAGTATGAGAATGGCAGTGGCACCCTCCCCCCGCACCTATTTGGAGTGAGCAAAGGAAGCAGAAGAGAAGGCTTGGGACTATGGGGCAATATGAAGAAGACCCAACTCTTTGATGTTGCTTCCCTGATGAGGGAGGTGTGGAGAGCAGGCGGGAGCTGGGGGAGAGACCCAGCTCCAGATATTGGTGGAGCAGGGCCCCCAGCCCTGAATATTCCTGGATCATGGCTCCAGGGGAGGGGGAAGCCAGGGGAGGGGCCGGCGACTTGCTGCGCCGGGAGAGTGGAGCCATTTGCCCACCCCTGCATTAGGGTGTGCCTGGGCACACTCGGCACACCCCGTGCGCATGCTTATGGTGGAGAGGAGCCTGCACCCAGTAGATGAGAGAAAAGGAGCTGTGCTCACAGCTGAGGAGTGAAGAAAAGACCCAGGGGGTGTTGCTCTCCCATAACTCATCCTCACTCATCCTATAGGAAATGAGGATGAGCCAACCTAGTTCTGTGACTGCCCTCTCCTACTAGCAGACTGGAGATGGTATCCCAGGGCTGCTTTCCTCTCCTTTGAAAAGCCAGCATGTGCATATTGTAATAGGAGCATGTTGCAAGGCCCCAGTTCAGCAAAGCACTTAAGCACCTGGTTAAGTCCCAGTACATGCTTAAATTAAGCATGTGCTTAAGTGCTTTGCTGAACTGGGGCCTGAGAACCACATCTGGGGTTCTTACAGCATATGGGCATATGATGGAGTTGTTCTTTACCTTCCACAATAGCTGGGAGCAGCCAATCAGCATCTTCTCTTCTCCTCCTTTCCTCTGCATGGAAATAGGTGGGAAACTAGAGGGCCTTCTCTCATTTTGGGAAGTAGGCAACCAGCCTTGAACAGAAAAGAATGTTTGCTTTAAAGTTGTATCAAAACACTTAACAAATGTTACAAAGAGTTTTATTCTATTAAGCTATGTTTGTGGAGCTGCAGAAATTCTAAAGACTTATTTCCCATTAGCTAATCAAGAGGCCACTCCAGGGCATGCATTAACGGCCATTAACGTATTCCTTGGGCGCTTTGTGCGGCTAAAGGCTGAGTGACTAAACAACCCAAGAAGTGCATTAATGATCCATGAATGAAATAATGATCTGAAACTCCCTGTTGGCATTGCTACTAGAAAAATGAACCTTTTGCATTTTAAAAGTCTGTTAAAATGAAATGTTTTATGGGTTTCATTGAATAGATCTTTCTGCTATGAAAAATAGTTCATAACAGATAGGAGAAAATAGTAAAACCATTCTCCTGTTTTCTTTAGTGATCTAAAAAGTTATTTTGTAAAACTTGTAGGTTATATGTGGAACCTTTTATTTCTGTTTTTCTTTCTCATCTACAGTGACTGCACCACTTAACTATTTTATATTTTTTTTTAAAGTTAATTTGGATAGTATAGAATGCTTTTATTCCAAACTGCATGCTATCATAGAATCATAGAATATCAGGGTTGGAAGGGACCTCAGAAGGTCATCTAGTCCAACCCCCTGCTCAAAGCAGGACCAATCCCCAACTAAATCATCCCATCCAGGGCTTTGTCAAGCCTGACCTTAAAAATGTCTAAGGAAGGAGATTCTACCACCTCCCTAGGTAACCCATTCCAGTGCTTCACCACCCTCCTAGTGAAAAAGTTTTTCCTAATATCCAACCTAAACCTCCCCCACTGCAACTTGAGACCATTACTCCTTGTTCTGTCATCAGGTACCACTGAGAACAGTCTAGATCCATCCTCTTTGGAACCCCCTTTTAGGTAGTTGAAAGCAGCTATCAAATCCCCCCTCATTCTTCTCTGCTGCAGACTAAACAATCCCAGTTCCCTCAGCCTCTCCTCATAAGTCATGTGCTCTAGCCCCCTAATCATTTTTGTTGCCCTCGGCTGGACTCTTTCCAATTTTTCCACATCCTTCTTGTAGTGTAGGGCCCAAAACTGGACACAGTACTCTAGGTGAGGCCTCACTAATGTCGAATAGAGGGGAATAGTCCCTCGATCTGCTGGCAATGCCCCTACTTATACAACCCAAAATGCCGTTAGCCTTCTTGGCAACAAGGGCACACTGTTGACTCATATCCAGCTTCTCGTCCACTGTAACCCCTAAGTCCTTTTCTGCAGAACTGCTTCCTAGCCATTCGGTCCCTAGTCTGTAACAGTGAATGGGATTCTTCCATCCTAAGTGCAGGACTCTGCACTTGTCCTTGTTGAACCTCATCAGATTTCTTTTGGCCCAATCCTCTAATTTGTCTAGGTCCCTCTGTATCCTATCCCTACTCTCCAGCGTATCTACCACTCCTCCCAGTTTAGTGTAATCTGCAAACTTGCTGAGAGTGCAGTCCATGCAATCCTCCAGATCATTAATGAAGATATTGAACAAAACCGGCCCCAGGACCGACCCTTGGGGCACTCCGCTTGAAACCGGCTGCCAACTAGACATGGAGCCATTGATCACTACCTGTTGAGCCCGACAATCTAGCCAGCTTTCTATCCAAAATAGATGACAGTACAAGCGCATTGTACAAACAAGAATATTGAAGGTGTTTGGCATGGAAATATGAATCAAACATTACACATGATTCAATACAGGATCTAAAATGCAAGTTCCCATTTCAGGCAGAAAAATGATAACATCCATGAATTCACAAAGTGGAATATTCTAGACAGTTGATCTCCAACTTTTGCCTATAAAGACTCAACCCTGACATAACTTCATTATGTGAGACCATGTGACTCAGTTGGCCACACCCTCTCTGCCATTGGTGGAATAGACCTTAATATGATTTATTTCTCATTTGAGTATATGCTTCTTTAAAAGCACCAATAAAAGACAAATGAAAACAAAACATATTTTTATTTTATTGAACACTTGAATAGCCTTTGTCTAAACCAGGAAAAAGGATTTAAAACAAATCATGTTAGTGGACATTTGAAACACCATTTAATACCTAATCTAAACACAGTTTTAACCTCACAATCATCTAACATGGTTTTAAACATGTTAAACTGTGTCTACACTAGAGGCTAAGTGAGATTTCTGTAGCTAACAATTAACCCCCCACCTTTTATTATAGACAATGTCATGGGGTGAATTTAGGACTCAATCCAAAGCCAACTGAAAAATTGATGGGAGTCTTTCCATTGACTTCAGTGAGCGTTGAATGAAGTCCTGAATGCTCATGAAATGGAGGGACTCCATAAAACAAGCTATAACTTGGCATAATGCAGGCTAGTGTTATGAATGTGTCCCACACCCCTCTGTCAAGGTACTTTATCTTCTTGGTGTGCAGCATTTATTCCACTCCATAGCCTATTCTGTTTTCAGTATAAATAAGATATCTGTTTTATATTTCAGTAAAACTCTCCAGGGTGTGTAACTGTATTTTTAGATGCATTTACAGCCTTAATCTTTGTTCTGAGCTGCATTCTGAAGCCTACGCCCTGTTGTGTTTTGTTGCTTTCTATTCCGGCAAAAGCTAAAAGTTGCATTCAAGTAAAGCGTTAAACAATGTTGCATTACTTGTTGCTCAAGGACTGTATATGTGCCATACTAGCTTA